AACGGGAAGCTAGCTAGCTTTGTCCTTCGTTATTCACCAGCCATACAGGCAGAGTTTTCCACGATGAAATTATATAATGTTTTCATAAAAATACTAATGTCCGATGAGAATCCACTGAAGTTAAATGATTTGTAATATTCGAACTTTGTAAATGCTCCTGGACAAATATCTGAAGTTTTCCAATTAATAAGCGCTAATCACAGTTATAGCTTCCGAAGTTTATAGCACACCAACTATGGTAAAACCAATAATAGATACTCCATTTTAGGTGCATCACGTTGGTTATATTTATAGCCGTGTGGAGAGTTTCTCGAAAATTCAGATCATGCTAATGAGGTTAAATTATGGAAACAGAAGATGATGACAAACAAAAATAACATATTAAAAAGCTAGGGCTATTTTGCATTTCTACCTGATGTAAGAATGAGAATCTTATTGGCTGTTGTATGGCAGTATGTAAAATGGGTATGTGGGCATTTATGACTAAAGGAAGTAGCATGAGTAACATTTGAAGCCATTTAACATTAAAGCACTTAAACTAAAAGCATATCCCTCCATTTCTGGAACTAGCACAAGTAAGAAAGCAGATTGTGAAGCAGCTAAACCAAGTGCTTCAATTCCAGATTTGCTTGAAAAGCAATGTCCACATGAGTGACATTCCAAGGAAATAAAAAAGTTAAACAGATTTCCAATTTTATGTGCAAAAATTATGTCCCTGCTTTCAAAACAGTAGAAAAATTAGAGGATTTAAATGCTTGATTTCAGAGCTAAATCAGTGTTATCATAACCACTAATCATAAATTCACGTAAAATGAAATCCTACTGGTGAGCAAGAAATTAAAACATGACATCATATTACTTCACTAAATTCATTTATTTGTCTACAAGTTATCTCTGAACAAGTAAGGACAATCAATATTCCAATTGAGTAACAGTTCATTACATCACTATTGATTGTAAGCCACGTTGCCACTAAATAGGAAGTTCACAGCTAAACAGCAATCATGTGGAAGAAAATACTTTAGAAGGAATTTATGAGAAACTGAGTAAGGGGGGATTAGACACAAAATCATGCTATGTACGTCTTATAGTAGTGGATCAAACTATAAAGAAGAAAGAAGGCTTTTAGTGACATAACCAAACCTAGACCTTACAAAGAAAGAGATGCAATAAAAATAACAGACATAACTAAAGCAATATTTCATCTCTGAAGAACAGTTTCTATCTTTTAAAGTCTTGAAAGAAATTTCTTCTTCAATTGAGCACCAAAAACTTCTTGGCCTGTCTGAACATATATTGATTCATAATGAATCAACCAGATATTCTACTTTTGAAATGGTAAAGTTTCAATAAGCAACAACAGTCAGTATATGTGATTTTGGCTGAAATTCATAAAAAAATGGCACTTAATGTCTACATATAAAGATGAAAGTTCTCAAACGAGCAAATGAAGTTCTCAAGAATGTTCATCCCTTCATTGTTGTGCTCTATGGTTTCAAGGAAATTGCTGTATCATCTCTACATGCTGTTTGGTGAGCTTTCAACTGTAGAATCAGATGATCTTCAAATATTTATGGAAGCCAGAATACTGCCAGATTTTCAGTTGAGATGTGAATACAAGGACACTGGTTTACATATTGATATCTACTTATTTCTTGACACCAGATGCAGAATACTTCCTGTGAAGGATTTCAAAATTATCAAGAAGAAGCAAAGAAATGAGTGTGCCACTATATCAATTCCAAATCTAAATAGATACCCCCCTTCAAGTTGGTCCTTCTACAGAAAGTTCAGAGAATATTGAAAATCATCCATTTCAACAGAACTAGCAAAATCAGTGGACTGTCAGTTATCTGGTTTTGTATCATGTGGATTATGATTTTAATCCCTATTTTCCTGGAAAACCAAGAAAAGATATTTCCAGCTTTGTTTGCTATAGTGAAGAAGCACTTCTGTATTTGTGCAACTTCCTGTGCTAGCATGAGAATCTTTAACCCATTATCTGCGGCAGGAGCAGCTCAGTTGCTGTTTTCTGACTCACACATAAAACTGAGTTGCCATCAGTCACAATAAAATGGCAATTTTGTCATTCGCATAGAGTTATAGTTATATATGTGTGCGACTGATGGATATTTCTGTCATTCGCAGCTGTGCCATAGAACTTCAATGACAGAAATATCCGTCACCCCGCAGTTAATGAATTAATGCAGGTGACTTCAAAGCTAACTAAGTGAAAGTGATGTAATCTTATCCTAAATCATGTTGATATGTTTGGTTCAGTCATGTCAATAGATTATGAAAACAACTGAATGACTATGTTTACTAAATATTCTTAAATGCTTTGTAATGTAATCAAACTTATTACCTAAGAACTGTTACCTAATCTGTTGTCTAAAATTTAATTTATTAGCAAATAGCAAGATAGGTAGCTAATTTCATAATTAATCATTGCATAAAGGTTATGAAATATAAGAAAATAAATGTATATAATATACTCACATTTAATCCCTACTTCTGTGATCTTAATTCATTCATTTGTGAACAGAAGCAATAAATGTTACTGTTAGACTAAAATTAATGTTGTGTCTTCAGACTATATATACTATAGCAGCTTTAAAAGAAAGTTATAATTATACAGGTGACTTGGAATAATAAGGAAGAACCTATTTAAGCTTCCAACTTGGTGTAAATCTCTATTATGTCCAGGTCTTTATTTCTCATATACCTCCCTAATATTTTAAGCCAAGTGTCTTTTATCTTCCTCTATGCATTCTAACAATTGGCCTCCAGCCCATTGCTTGTTTTGGCAGTCTATTATCCTTCACTCTTAGAACATGACCATAGTATCACCATCTATACAACTGATTGTCATAGCCAAGAAATTCAACGTAGATGTCTAGGTGAAATAGTACAAGACATTAAGATCCATTCTGGTGAAAAACAAACAGAAAGCTACCAATGAGAAACACAAAAATGTAATTTATGAAATTCTGTGTTCCTGCAATGAAACGTGCATTGGAGAAACGGGAAGAAGTCTCGTGACAAGAATAAGAGAACATAAAGACAGTACAAGACTCATGAAAGCACAAAATTCAGCCATTGCAGAACACACAATGTCAACTGGACACAAAATAAACCGGGAAAAAACTAGAATCATTGACACACACAAATTTTGGAAGAGAAGAAAAATTAATGAATCCTTTTACATTAACATAATAAAACCTTCACTAAACAAAGATTCTGGATTAGAGGTGAGTAACCTGTGGCTACCATTGGTTAAATCTACAGGAAGTCTCTCCACCAATCAGAAACAGGGATAAACTAACCAATCATAACACATCCTCCACAATACACCAGAATACTATAAAGACTGACAACACCATACAAACCTGTAGAAGATAGGTGAAAGAATATGGACACATCGTCCTCTACACTTGTGTTTCTAAAACAAGCAGTTGCCAGCCAATCAACTAAATTTCATTATGAATACTCTGCCTAAACAATCTATCAAAGAAAGATGTCACAGAAGCTTTCTTGAGAGAACAACAGGCAGGGTTCAGAGCTGGTAAAAGATGTGTTGACCAGATCTTTGTCAATCTTTTTATTGATTTTTAAAAGGCATCAACTCAATACATAGACAATCAATCTGATGTATACTTTAGTATTATGTATTCCTCAAAAAGATAATGTGGTTTGTATGCTATATGTCAGTCAAGATAGTACAGAGAGGTTTGAGGCTAGAATGGTAGTAAGCAAGACCTGACATTCTGTCACCTCTCTTGTTAAGTGATACAAGTGTAAAAATCTTTTAAATAAAAAATTAGGAATGGGAGCACCAAAAAGTAAAGAAATAGGGTAGGAATTGATGGGATAACATTACAACACTTGGTGGTTTTTGACACTGTGCAATCTCAAAGTGGGCGTGGCCATCGTTCTGCCCATTCCTACTTCATATACTTTTTGTAACTTGGTACTTGTTCAAACACTGACAACACCATACACACACTGACCTGAAGACTTTCGAAATGTTGTCCTCTACACTTGTGGTCTACAACAGGCAGTTGCCATCCATTTAACTAAATTTCATCTTTCATTCAAATTATACTCAAAACTTTTCCTGAGGCAGATAGTAATGTAATTCCCCTCCACTTTTTACACAATGATAAATCTCCTTAGGTATTTTGATAATGATTCCTTTTATGCAATCAGAAAGACAACTCTCTGATTTCCAAATAAACTTAGTCAGATCATTGAAAACCATTTCGATAAACTGGATCATTCCCATTCACTAAAATGTGAAAATATGATCTCCACTTGTTTAATTAGCTCTTCATACTTTATAATTTTATGCTGTGCTCATCCTTACTTACACCATAGGTATTTACTTTATTATCACCTAATTGTTGGACTATCTTATAGAACATTCTCATATCTTCTGTACTGGCTGTTTCTCTGCCTGTTCTGCTTTCTGGTGGTAATATCTATGTTTGTCTCTTCTAACTGTTCTTTGAACTTCTCTTGCATTTCTTAAGTGCATATTTTAAAACAAAAGTTAGTTCTATATATATCCGTGCAACTTTCCAGCTTGATCCTCAACTGTTTTTTTCTCATCTATTAATTTCCAGGATTCACCAGAGATCTTTTCCTCTCTTGGTTTTCTACAATAACTCATCATCTTTCTGGTAGTAGTTATGTACGTTTTCTTAAATTCTGTCCATTTTTCTTCCACACCCTGTTCATCACTTATGATATTTAGTATCTGAAACTTATTTTATAAATCTAGCTGAAATGCAGCTAATACTTCTGGATTTAGTTAGCTTGAGAAAATCAAAAGGTACAGCCATAGTTGTTTATTTTTTGCATAGTTTCATTTTTATCTTTCCAATAGTGAACAGTATTTCCTATATCTACATCTCTAACTGACCTGGCATCATGCACGAAGGATCAATGCCTATAAGACATGGCTATGTGGTCTTTTTGATGTTAACATTTTCTAACACTGAAAACGTACTTTGGTACGTACTTACATAATGAAGACAGTCCTCTTCTCATCAAGTGAGTATGCATGGCTATGAGATTGTGTTATTGTACAAAACCCACTTTTTAGGAAATCTCTACGGTCTACCACTCCAGTGACTGGGAACCAGAAGTGGCAAGAACCCCTGTGCTCCAGTAGAAGAAAGAGATGCGCTGGGGGGGGGGGTCTAGAGGAACAACCCACTGGAAACAATGCAATGGATGTTTGTGTTTACCTATTTTGAAAAGCAGAAAGACCCAGATTGGAAGAATCATGGGTCAGTAGGGATGGGCAAAAATCCATATCTGCTTTACTCATGAAGTTCATGAATGATGGTCCTCAGGATATACATATATATATATAGATAGATAATGATAAAAAAATTATATATATAGGTATAAATACACCATCAGAAAAGCATCCGGTGGTCTTACAGAAACACCCCATCTCCACAGTGAATGTTGGAGAAGCATACAGATATAGTGCTAAGATATAAAATTCAGTATACCAGTAAGCAGTTAAAGACAGAGTTAGATGATGTATTAGGTGTGAAGAAACAATATGTAGGTGGTGACCTGCCAGGGACACATCCAAATACGCCAGGTGTAGAAGTTAATGAACCCAGCCCGAGCGGAATAGGAGAAAGATCAGGGGAAACAGGAATGCTATGGAACAACGAGACAGTATGATGCCAAACATCAGATCAGGGAATGAACTGGACAAAGGAGATTATCCAGAAACAAATGGGAATACAGGTGGGAAAAGGAAAGGAAGGAAAAAGGAGAAAAGACAAAACAACCTACCTGGGCAGCCAAAATCCAGGAAAGGAATTCTGGATCCAGTTAATGAAAAATCTATAGGAAATGGTAAAGGATGTCATAAAAGTGTAGAGATGACTGGATGAAAAAAACATCAGATGTGAGAAGATTGAGGAGCAAACAGGACAGAGAAAAGGAAAAGGTGTGTTGCTCCAGTAAGGGCCAGAGCAGATGGAACCACATCTGAGTGGCCAATACAGAAAACCAGCAGAGCACAACAAGGTGTGGTCTGGATAAAACCAGAAGATGAATCAAATTGGAAAGTAGGCGAAGGTGAAGACCCCTCCAATTTTGATCAAAAGCATCTATCTGCACAGCTGAAGGGTGAAGAACTGAAGACTATAAGGAAGAAAGTATGGTATACCAGTGAATGGGAAACACATACAAATATGCAGTGTTCACTGTTGAGAACACACCCACAAAAAAACGTGAGTATGAAAAGACCACTCTATGGAGAACCTGGTGGGGATGTGATAAGAGATTGGCCTCAAGAATCAGAACTCTTGGAACATGACCCACCAGAATAGTCACATCAAGGTCATTGGCCCAATACATGGAATTTGAGTGTCTGACCAGATATAGATCGTGGTTCCCCCTTTCTAGGTGATAAAGCTGACGATAGTGGAATTGGAGAAAGAACTGAAACCATTCTCCCCTGCAAGAAAGGATACAGAGCCCAATGAGCTGCCAAGGTACCAGGATGTGGATATAGAGAGTTGCCTCCTCGACTGACCACCGACCCTAAATCTCAGAGGAACCGAGGAAAATGGGATTATCCAAGGGATTGTTAGGGAAGTTCCACTGGTCGAGAAGTATCCAATGAAGGGAATGCACAAGTGTCTGACCCAAGAGAATGAGCACTTCCAAGGAAGACCACATCCCAAAAAAGAGAGAGAGCCTCATGGACAAAGAGAGAAGGAGAAGGGATGGCAAACACAACTGTCCACTCGATATCCAGGAACCAAAGTGGAGAAGGCTGGGCTCAACCAAAAAAGGAAGTGAAGAGATCCCCCATATGAATAAGATACTATGAGAGGGTAATATCGGACCTCTCCAACCAGAAAAGAAATCCACCTAAGTAGCTTCTTGAAGAAAGAAGCAGGTGTAAGTGACTGACCTGGCAAAGGAAGAGGCAAGCAGAAGCCTGTTGTCCATGAAATGTGAGTCTGAAGACCCAACCAGTGAGATGACGTGCAAAAGCATACTACTCCACAAAACACCTACAAAGCTGAAGAAAGACAGTCTGTGAGCACCCAGAACAGGAAGGCAAAACTCACCTGGAGGAACTGAAGAAAATAATGTGACACTGGGGCATAAAAACCCACCAAAGAGAGAGGTAGGACTCCATGGTGAAGCGAGGTGACTGCAGATAAGTATACAGTCAGGACAGATCAAGAAAGGGACTTTAAACTCCTGTGTATAGGGAGACAAAGAAGGACAAAAGCAAGCTCCTGGTTGAGTGGGCTCCACATGTTAGATAGCTCTATTGTGTAGTAGGACACGAATAGACTGAGAAAGATGATCAGACAAAGTACGATCCGGAGGAGGAGGGGAGGAGATCTGAGAAGTGAGTAGAGGGGGGAGCAAAATGGAAGTCAGAAACCTTTATGGAGAACCTGTAAAAAGAACAAAACTGTTGTGAAGTGTTGCCTAAAAATACACATAAACTAAAGAAATTGAAGAAAGTACACAGACCTAACAAAAACTTAGAAACATGTAGTCTACAAAGAACTTAAAAGTAAGACACCTGCAAAACTAAGAAAATCGACCTCAATCATAAAACAATAACTAACACCTAAAGTATAAAACCACCAAAGGGACTGATAAGATAAACGACCCTTAAACATGGAACGTAGACGTTGACTCAAAGGACACGAAAAGAAAATTTACCCTAAAGAACATGAGAATAGAAAAGCACCAAGTTAACAAAAACAAAGGCTGACTCAAAACATATTCCCAACTAAATGTGACTAGTAGTAAAAATACAAAAAAAAGGAACTTATAACTAAATAACATTAACAGTGAAAAAATTTAAAATTTTAAACCAAGTTAATATAAGAAACAAATTCTAAATGCAAGTTATAAACTAAAGTAACCCAGATGGTAAAAGATATGATCAGCACGTTGTTGAAATGATGCAAAAAATATAGAGGTACAAAAGACTGATGCACTTTTAAAAAGTTTACCAATGCTTAGCGGGCAAATGAAAGTTGAGATAGCTATGGTGTGGAGGTAGTACCGTTTCGTAATTACAGTTAAACCACCAGGGTTTCTCCATGTTCCTTTATGAATTTTTTGGGTTTAAAACAATGTATCAAATAATCAAACCATTATTTTCACAGCATTTCACACATATATGATGTGATTATCATTCTGTGCCCTCATTCTGAATCTACCAAGAGCAATCCCAGGATCAACACTCACCTTACAATTCATGTATCCTATTGATACTTTAATATTTCCTTCTGAATTGTAGTTTAAGATAGAAATACAACTGTAACTACTTCAAATGAAGTAGAAGCCTTTTAAAAGTTTATTTATATTTAAAACAATAATAAGTTATCAGTAACACACTATACAATTGTCACAATTAACTAAACCAAAGCACAATCTTACTCACAATGAAGGTGTCTTTCGGTATCTGTGAAAAAGATTCCTCCATTCTGGCAAGAACAAGATTCACAACAACCTGGAATTACAAAAAACAACAATGTTTTAATTTTTTCGCTTATGATAATGACTGACCTCACTATTTTCAAAAAATAACTGCTGAACAACAAACTAATTTACTAAGAAGAGAATACGGTGATTATCTTGACTATTAAGAAAAATAATCCACAGTATGAAAAAAATGAAATTTATAAATTAACTGTCCTTGTAATAAATTTACATTGACAATTTAGTTCATAACTGAAGTAAATGTAATCACAGTTTAAATTTGGCTTAAGCAGAGGAACCAGGGATGCTGTAGCACTCCCACTTTTACATATTTGACTTGTATAGCAACTGTAAGTTATATTATTATTATATTAATTTTCTGGAGGAGCATGCTCCCAGATCCCACTAGATTGAACTGCCTTTGCAGCACGGGAGCTTCTTTTAGCAGATTCTTATACTTTCAATCTCTCATTGTAAAATTTGCATGTCTAGCCAAGCACCCTCACTTTGAAACTTCTTCCTGCACCACTGTTATTTGTACTTTATAAGAATAATTTATATCATTGCAGATGCAAACTGTGGTGCTAGAAGTGACAAGTTTAGCACCTATGTATTCAGTTCAGAGAAATCCTTCATTATTCAATGAATGCCATCATGAGTAGAATTATGACCATAGGAATATGTCCTAGCTTTTTCATAGGAAGAATATACATAAAGCAGAGTAAATAGATTTTCTTTTACTTATACTGAATAATTATGTTAAATACATTGTCTTATAATATCATAGTTACAACAGTAATTACTTGAACATTTTAACATAAGCATAAAAAATTCATTTTCAGAATAACAATGTAATTACTATTTTTTGTCCTTATATGTACATATGTTAGCTTCCAGTATACTTCTGGCATCCACAAGCACTTTTACGAGAAGGAATACAAATGTAATCACAATGTATTTCTGAACAGCAAACCCTGGCTGAAAGATCAACACCTGTTTTGAAAAAGTGATTTCTACTTTACTGGTTATGGTTTTGAGCTCAGTTAGTTCTAACAGTATAATCATATAAGATATGAAACAAAAATCACAACCTTTTATTATCTTATGAAAGAAAAACAAAAATATTACATGATTTATTGTTCTCTACATAATTACATCTGCCAAGGAAGGTGGACTCATGTTATGCTTTCGCTCCTGTGTGCTTGTTTGTGTGTTTGTTGGCAAGATTTCTCAAAAATGGCTCAATGGATTTGGACAAAAGTTGGTATACATAATAGACTATGACCCAACTTAGAAGTGATTAGTTTTTTGGAGGATCAGGTCACAGCAAGATCACAAAAATCCAAAAACTCCCTATATGTTAACATGGAGACCAATTTTGCATGCTATTTTCCCCTCTAACTCAATAAGAAAAGATCTTGACATATGTAGAATATCATTTCTCGTTTACCTGCCAAAAATAGTCCATGTCCATTGGTATCGAGGGACATACAGACACATTTACATATTTTTTGAAAGTCAAATATGATAAACGCTGCTTGGCGAAGGTATGTGCACTACTGAGTGTCCCTCTAGTTTAAACATGTCGTAACATCATAATCGTTATCAGGTTAATGATAAACAGTTATGAATTAATAGTTGTTGTTGTTGTTCGAAGTTCGAAGGACCACGAAGGGCTGCTCAGTCATCCAGGATGCTGCCGAAATCCCCTGCTGCCTCATCAGTTGAAAAACGACCCTGTGTCCTGGACCGCCTACGTGCAGGCTTTTGACTACAGCTTCCAGTGATGTCCACACCTACTGCACTCCCATCGGCCTATCGCCGCAGGACTTTGGTTGATGTCGTGACGTGCGCTGGACTTGGATTATAGTGAGGAAGAGTTGCGCGAGTCGTCGACCTCACTCTCTCGTCCCTTCCCATCCGGATCCAGTGGCAAGTACAAATCAAGACGATTGGGGATAGATCAGGATGCAGTGGATGACCGTGACTTCCTATCTGCCTCGCCGCGCTCTTCGCACTCCACAATGCAGTGCTGGTCATTGCTCATTTGCCTGTTGAACTGTTACAGATTTCTTCCGCGCAATT